ACAGTCTGCCCCCAGAGATCTGTCTGTCTATTTCGCTGGGTATTTTTAAGAGCAAACTTAAGACTTGGCTCTTTACGCAGGCTTTCCCTCCTGTCATCACCTAATTATTTTTCCCATCTTGAACTATATTGTTACTGTTGTTTTGTATTATATTATATAGTTTTTATTTTATCTATTATTGTTAGCCACCAAGAGTAGACTTTAATGTAATAAATAAATAAGTAATAAATAAGCCAAATACAGTATATATTTATGGTTATTTGACCCCCTTTCCCCCATTATTCCCAAAACATCTTCTCTCAAATAAAAGTGCCATATAACAGTACCTATTAATACTTACAAATCTCACATAAAATAATAACATTTTCAAAATTTGAAAGCTTAAGGCAAGGTTGAAAAGCCTTGAAATCCAGCTCTTAAGAGACAGTGCATGGAAAAACATCAGAGCCACATTGGCTTGGGAGTTATGGGAACTGTAGTACAATACAATGAGACTTTTCCAAGCTCTGAGAAGCCAATAAAATTATATCCAACACCCAGTGTGGTGTAGTGGATGGAGTGACGGACTAGGACTCAGGAGACCTGGGTTCAAATTCCCTCTCAGCCATGGAAGTTCGCTGGGGATGTGGAAATGGTAAAACTGGTCCTTAAGTATCTCACTTACCTTGAAAGCCCTGTTAAGCTGTAAGTCGGTTCTGAGCCAACAGCACATAGCAATAACAATTGTTGTGTCCACTGCTAAAATGTTGGCATAGTGTAACAGGATAGAATGTAGCCACTGCGTTATTGCACTGGGGAGGCATGCATTGAAATCCCTCCTCAGTTATGAAGCTCATTGGGTGATCTTCAGAAAAGTTACAGTCTCGAGGGCCAGCCAACCTTTCAGGGCTTTGTTAGCATAAATAATACAAAGGACAAGTATGTATGCTGCCTTGAGATATTGGCTGAAATCCTGTTGCCATTGCTGGGTAGTGGTGATTTTCACAACTTAAAGAACCCTCTCCCCATTCCATGGCCCCCAGTGGCTTCCCCACAATGAAAGAGACCACAAGGAGGCCTTGGATCCTTTGGGAAGGGGGGGAATCAGAACATTTTAATTCCTCAAAAACCGCCTCAGCTCATGATGTCAACAGCCTTACATGGTGTAATTTGTGCAACAGGATTTCAGCCACAGCCAGAAAAGGCTGGCTGTAAAAGTAACAAACAAACAAATACTAATTAGTACTACTATTAGTTCACTGACTAGTTTGGCATACATTGGTTTTCATTTCATAGTTAGAAATAGGCTGCTATTAAACATGTAGCTTAATTAGCTTAAACAGTGCCTGTTTGACCAATTTAAACTGCTTTAATTAATGAAGGTAATGTAGGCATGGTAATTCAGTAAAATGAAAGCCGTACTAAGAAACAGAAGCCCTGAACTGGGAAACACTAGCCCCATTCAATTGTGCTGTAAGTGTATGCAATCCCTGTGCAGAGGCCCCAGGCCTCTCCATGGTTGCTTTCAAAACGCAAAAGCAATAATTTGAAGACTGGGAGGTTGCTTTATCCAATTAGTCTCCTCACATGAACTAGAACCCGATCCTTGGTTCTGGTGATGATGGAGTGGGTGGATATAGGACATCCCTCCCCCCATTGTTTCATGATTATACATGCTCATAATACAATTGAGGAAGACCTGTGCTTCCAGCACAGATGTTAGAACATTTCTATAGCTAAGATTGCTGTGTCTTGGGGAAACAGCAGCTAAATTGATCTAAGACTGCTTTATGTTCTCAAAGCGGATATAATGTATGTATATGTTTTCCTAAGCCCATATTGCCTCTTTGAACAGATATCATTTTGCACCTCTCAGTCTCTCTTCTCCCTTTCAGCCAACACAAACTGGCATAACTCATTCCAAGCTGCTGCAGATTACATCTTAAAAACCGGTGCTAGAGGACTAGTTGTTGCAAACCATAATCATTTGGAGTTTTGATAAATCCATGTATCCTACGTGAAAATGTGGTGAAAGGATTAAGGAAGTTACATTATGATGTTCTAAAGATATGTCCCAATATCAGACTATTAAACATTAGAAACACTCAAAGTTTAAAATGCATGCTTTAAATTAATGCCAGAACATTTGTCTGATCAGATGCCAGCGAAGTTCCATGGACTGGTGCTGGTGGCCTCAGGGTTGCTTTCTGTTGTGTTCTGATAGCTGAGATAAGGGCCTCATTGAACATCACAAGAGTGCTTGCCTGCATTATTTGTCACAAATGTACAAATAGGGTAGGGCTGGAATCTATAGGTAACCATAGAATTAAACTGTTTTGAGTACTTGAGCTTATTTTTAAGAAGAATCAAGTTTCTGAGACCACAAGGAGGCCTTGGATCCTTTGGGAAGGGGGGGAATCAGAACATTTTAATTCCTCAAAAACCGCCTCAGCTCATGATGTCAACAGCCTTACATGGTGTAATTTGTGCAACAGGATTTCAGCCACAGCCAGAAAAGGCTGGCTGTAAAAATAACAAACAAACAAATACTAATTAGTACTACTATTAGTTCACTGACTAGTTTGGCATACATCGGTTTTCATTTCATAGTTAGAAATAGGCTGCTATTAAACATGTAGCTTAATTAGCTTAAACAGTGCCTGTTTGACCAATTTAAACTGCTTTAATTAATGAAGGTAATGTAGGCATGGTAATTCAGTAAAATGAAAGCCGTACTAAGAAACAGAAGCCCTGAACTGGGAAACACTAGCCCCATTCAATTGTGCTGTAAGTGTATGCAATCCCTGTGCAGAGGCCCCAGGCCTCTCCATGGTTGCTTTCAAAACGCAAAAGCAATAATTTGAAGACTGGGAGGTTGCTTTATCCAATTAGTCTCCTCACATGAACTAGAACCCGATCCTTGGTTCTGGTGATGATGGAGTGGGTGGATATAGGACATCCCTCCCCCCATTGTTTCATGATTATACATGCTCATAATACAATTGAGGAAGACCTGTGCTTCCAGCACAGATGTTAGAACATTTCTATAGCTAAGATTGCTGTGTCTTGGGGAAACAGCAGCTAAATTGATCTAAGACTGCTTTATGTTCTCAAAGCGGATATAATGTATGTATATGTTTTCCTAAGCCCATATTGCCTCTTTGAACAGATATCATTTTGCACCTCTCAGTCTCTCTTCTCCCTTTCAGCCAACACAAACTGGCATAACTCATTCCAAGCTGCTGCAGATTACATCTTAAAAACCGGTGCTAGAGGACTAGTTGTTGCAAACCATAATCATTTGGAGTTTTGATAAATCCATGTATCCTACGTGAAAATGTGGTGAAAGGATTAAGGAAGTTACATTATGATGTTCTAAAGATATGTCCCAATATCAGACTATTAAACATTAGAAACACTCAAAGTTTAAAATGCATGCTTTAAATTAATGCCAGAACATTTGTCTGATCAGATGCCAGCGAAGTTCCATGGACTGGTGCTGGTGGCCTCAGGGTTGCTTTCTGTTGTGTTCTGATAGCTGAGATAAGGGCCTCATTGAACATCACAAGAGTGCTTGCCTGCATTATTTGTCACAAATGTACAAATAGGGTAGGGCTGGAATCTATAGGTAACCATAGAATTAAACTGTTTTGAGTACTTGAGCTTATTTTTAAGAAGAATCAAGTTTCTAGGTCTTAATGATTGTGTCATTATCTTGAAAGCATGTAGACAATGGCTCTGCAGTCCACAGGGCATGGAAAAATGTCTGAATAAAATTTGCCAGTTGCAGTCTTACACATAAGCATCAGGAAGCAAATCCCACTCAATTAAAGGCGGCTTATTTTTGAGTGGACATCTTGAAGATTACAAATAGGGCATCAGCAGTTTTCTGTCTATGACATGCAGAATGCAAGAATCTGTATAGAACAAAAGCATTTTTTCATGCAAATTTTATGCTATCTCGTAATTTATTTTTATATGCAATAAGGCAGACTTCTCTATAGAGTTCTCCTACAGGAGTATCAAAAAGGCAGAAGGCCATGAAAAAAATGATGGTAATATTTTAAAAAGAGTTAATCAAACATCAATGTGTTCTGTCACTGATGTTTTACTGCTTTGCATCTCATTTGAGACACTAAGGCAAACCCAGGATAACAAGATTTGGGTGAGGCAACGCAGAGTGAGGCTCCTGCTGCTGTGCATGATATACAAGGACAGTATGACAATGAGAATGAAGTTGTTTTTAGAATAGCTTCTTGATTCCAAAAGGCACTGTTTAACTAAGGAAGGTGACCTGTCAGAGAACAGAGCAGTAAAAACCCATTCACACATGCATGTCTACACCTGAATGATGATAGTATTCAGTGACAACTTGGATATGAATATGAGCCATCACACATACAGTACCATTAACAGAATGTGTGCTTCTGTGGCACAGTGGTTAAGAGCTTCGCGGCACAATGGTTAAACTGTTGTACTGCTGTAAGAACTCTGCTCACAACCTGGTTCAATCCAAGCAGATTCAGGTAAATGACTCAGGGTTGACTTAGCCTTCCATCCTTCCAAGGCTTGCAGTCTAAATACCCAGTTTATGGGAGGAGGAGGCAATAGGTAATATGTAGTCTGCATAATTAAATTGTAAACCGCCCAGAGGGTTCTTGAAGCACTATGAGGTGGTATATAAGCAGAACACTTTGCTTTGCTTTTACTTCACATCTCACCCCCATATTTCTTGCTGGGATCGGTTTGCACAGCCCGGCTGCATTTCTGTATCCCACTGCCTTTGATTAAGCCTTGTGGAATCCAGTGAGAATCATTTCTCAATGGAAATGTATAGGATTAGCATTGCATTGCCAGCTGCTCATCAACTGCATGACAATCTAGTGATATGTTTGTGAATCAGATTGGGATGACCAACTAACTGCCTGAAACAGGATAACATTAAATAGAAGGTACAGTGCATTATATATTCTGGAGTTAATCAAACATGCAAGTCAAGGCTAAATATTGTAGTGGTCATATGAGGTTTTTTAATGGAGGAATTGGAACCACATTTCATAAAAACAAGAGATTTTCCAGTTAGCATGGCCTGCTGGATACTGTAGTCTTCTTAAAAAAGTAACTTTTGCAAGTTTCCCACGGGAACCAGCACAGTGCTCTCCTCCTCCTATGCTCAATCTGTCGTTCTCTCCATCTCTTTCTTGCTGTTTCTGTAGACACAGAAAGACACATTTTGCAGACAGAATCAACTGTAATACAGATTTCCGCTTGTTTTAGATATTAATGCATCCGTGATAGAAAACGTATAGGGCTTAATCGGTCCCCTGTTAAAATCATTGAGGGTTTGACTCCAACTTGATCATGCCTCTATTATTTCTGTGCCATAAACTTCTCCTGTTATTGTTTAATTGCCATATATACATTACTCCTTCTTCAAATATTCTACAACGCTGTTTTTAATTTACTACTATTAAAATCCTAGACAGAGTGCCTAATTGTTAATAAAATGATAGTCCTTCTTCCAAATCAAGCTGAACAGAAAGTGTGTTATTTGTGTGATGTTTTGTGCCAAGAACTGTTTTAGATTAAAATATTTATGGCTCTTAGAAATTTGGGCTGTGTTTCTACTTTGTATCACTGCATTTGTATAAATGTGTTGAGGATACAACCCTGTTACTAATATTGGAAGGGTAAATGAAGATCTTCTTTGGAAGCAAAGCCATTCAGGATCTCATTATCTGGGTTGCAAAAAAATCTCTCTTTCGCAGCAGAACGTAGAAAAGTTACTTTTTAAAATGAAAGCTTCTAGGATTCCCCAGCCAGCATCTCCTATGCTAACCAAGGGACTCTTGAGTTGTAAAGTGCAGTCTGGTAAACTCTTACTACTCTTGTGTTCAAATGGCACATTTCAGGGTTGGGATTTCAGAAGGAAGGGTGCAATCTTGCTTTCATTCAAATGATATGGGCCAGTATTATGGTGCAATCTCAAAGGGCTCTTAAGGCAGTGACTGCCCTACATTCAACAGACCAAATAATCCAGAGTCTAAAGGTTGTCTCTGGTTTTATCTAATGATTAGCCACCTCTTACACTCTAGACACTGTTATTGCCAAAATAAAGTACAGCAATAAAAATGGCATGACTTTTTTTTTTAACTCAATGGAGTTTGCAGAAGACTGTTTCCCATCCCCTCCTACTAAAGTGGTCACTTACGGAACACCCTAGGGAAGATAAGAAAGGGTGCTTGGCCTATATAGATTTGCATATGTTGAGCAGCTCTTAAAATGGAAGACAAGCTTCAAAAGAGGCCGGACTGTCTTGCCTAGAAGGGGATCTTGCAGCCCTCTGACGTCTTAATTTATCTTGCTTCTTCTTGTCTCATGCAGAAATAAAATTCTTGTTTGTGAAGTCAAAGAGCCTTCTTAAATAATTTGGAATGGAAGTCAAGGGCTGCTAGGGGAAGGTGGGTTCCCAATTAGATATTTAGAGAATAAAGGAAGAATGAGCACAAATCAGGGCCAGCCCTCAAGATTTTGATGCCTGACACAAAGAACAAGATTGCATGCCCCGTCAACCTCAGAGGCCAACATCCACGGTGCCGGTTTTTAATATTGGTAGTGGGAGAGGACAAGACTGGATATTACAGTAGAGGGCAGCAATCTAATTTAGGGGGAGCCAGATGGATAGGAAAGACTGGAGAAAAGACTGCCAGGCCCCCTCGTGGTCATTTGGTGCTAAAGGCAGTTGCCTACCTTTATGTAATGGTAGAACTGGCCCTGACAAAGATGATAGCCTTTGCTCAAGATGCTTGGGTTACATTGAGGTTCAGCCATGTTGCTGGTTTAAGTATATCCCCATTAATTGACTCCAAAACTTCCTGTTTCTGTGGGTAATAGACATCATTCACAAAGCCTTTCTTCCTTAATGATATGCTTTTGAAATTTTTCCATTGTTCTAAACTATTTTAAATCATTCCTTTAATTGAATTTAATTATTTGAACTTATTTTTACTTTTTACATTTTATCCATCCGTCCGTCCGTCCGTCCGTGTGAGATGCCTTGTGCTGGGGGAGAAAAGCAGGATATATATATCCAATAAAATAACAAAGTTGGGGTATAGGCTTTTAGGGCAGGAAAACTATAAACCTTATCAGATTTTCCCAATTAACACAGAGTGAAGGCTTTCACTCTCCATGCAAGCAACTGGGGGCCACCAGAATATTCTTCTGCCCTACAGGTTCTGCAAGGTTCTTAATGTAATCAAACCATCCTGAATGCATCAATTAATTGACTTTGCTAGATGGACCAATAATTTGACTAGTTGAAAGGTTGCTTCTAGTTGTGGTTATGTGCTATCAGGTTGCTCCAAAGATATGCTGACCCTGTGAATTAATGACTTCCAGAAAGTATTCTCATTTACACTCCTGCTCAGGTTTTGCAAACTCAAGGCAGTGGTTCTTTAGTTGTGTCAATTGCTCTCATGTTTGTTCTTCCTCTTTTCCTACTGCCTTCTACTTTTCTTGGCATACCCCCCCGAGTGTTTTATCTTCTCATAATATGTTCAAAGGTTGCTTCCTAATGGCTAACATTACTCCAGTTCAAGAGTTTGGAAAAGTTACTTCTTGGATGCCAACTACAAGAATCCAATAGCTGGCATAGGCAAGGGATTCTGGAAAATGTAGTTGGAAAGGTAATTTCCCACACTCTGGTTGTAGAACCCAGCAACATTTATTTATACATTTAGCTGTAATGCCAATAAAGGTTTCTGTTGTAATGCCAATAAAGGTTTCTGTATGTGTGATATGTACATTTAGCTGTATATGGTCGTCACTCTGGATGATGGTACGGCTAGCCTTGTTTTAACCACTAGGCCACAATATGTACATTTAGCTGTATATGGTCATCACTCTGGATGATGGTAGGGCTAGCCTTGTTTTAACCACTAGGCCACACCATGGGCAGAACATACCATGTTTCCCTGAAAATAAGACAGGGTCTTATATTAATTTTTGCTCCAAAAATGCATTAGGACTTATTTTCAGGGGATGTTTTATTTTTCTCATGTACAACAATCTACATTTATTCAAATACAGTCATGCCATCTTCTTCTGGTTGCTGCACAATGGTGGAGGGTGGGGTTTCATTTTACTGGGGCTTATTTTGGGGGGCAGGAGTTATTTATTTATCTATCTATCTATCTATCTATCTATCTATCTATCTATCTATCTATCTATCTATCTATCTATCTATCTATCTATCATCTATCTATCTATCTATCTATATCCCGCCTATCTGGTCAGTCATGACCACTCTAGGTGGCTTATATTATGAGCATCCTGAAAAATCATGCTAGGACTCATTTTCAGGTTAGGTCTTAATTTCAGGGAAACGGTACAAATTATTAGTGGAAGTCTGATACTGTATGTGTAAAAATGTTTTAAGAACATGTGATAAAATTCTCCTTTGCTTTACATTTGAAAGAGGAAGTTGGACAAAAATTATCTAGCAGTTTTTATATATAATATATTTAACTGCTTTTTAATATTGCACTTTATTAGCCCAAATCCTGCTCATGTAAAGTTATGCAGTGGAAGCCTTTAAAAGTAACACATTGCCACCAGCTCACTACTGCGAGTCCTGATCCCAGCGGCTGGCAGGGTTTTATTTTGTTTTAGTTTTTTATTATAGGTTTATTTTTCAATCAATTTCTTGTTAAAAATGGTTTGCATACCAGTTTATGTCTAGAATGAAATAGCAAACAGATACAAAGGAAGAGAGGAAGATTCCTGAGTGGTTTAAGATAATGCTTGGAAAAGCTTTGTTTTTGGGACTACAATTCCCAGGCAACTACTATACCTGCTAGAGGATTCTGGGAGTTGTAGTGCAAAAAAGTAATTTCTCCAAGTTCTGATTAGTAGTCAGATCCTTTTCATACTCAACCAGGAATAAACCCTACTGAACAGAACATAATACAGTATACTCAAATGCACTGAATAGAAAGTATTCCTGATAATGACGCATGTAGGATTGTATCATTAGTGGAGATTTAATTTTGATTACTGGGACTGAGTCTAGCATTCTCTGCTCAGTCACACTCTTTTCCCTGCTATAGCTGGTCATTTCTACTCTGTTATCAACCTAATTGGTTTGTTTTTGGGCATCTGTACGAATGCCCAAGTATATTTGTACAGTTCTACACTTCCTTCATTTGGAAAGTATTTTACTTGTAACAGATATTCTTTCTTTAACAACAATAAATTGGAGGATTTACAGACTTGCAAGTTCTTCATGGCACCAGCTTTTCCCAGGCAGTGGTTTATAACAACTAGCCATAAATTCCTGAACAAGTGGACTTTGAAATGCTTTTTAACAAAATGGTGTTTCCATTGCAATCGCTTTGTCTCTGTCTTTCTTTTTTAAAATCACACAGCCCAATAAGTTGAATTCACTCTACTTTTGCTTAGGAATCAACACATATGTACAAACAAAAATTCAGGTTGAGAAATGTGCAACATATCAAATTACAAATGCTTCCACCCTGCTGGAGGTTGAGGGTGAGAAAAGAAAGAGTATGGCACATCACCACCACCATCATAATAATTCTGCCATGGAGAAAACATGAAATTAAATGATTTTTTTAAAGGAAGAAAACAGAGGCTGAAACCATGTTCATTTTTAGCATGCACGTTAACAGGTTTTTATATACATAGCTTTTTTTTCGTGCTATTTGCACAAAGGGGTATCCACTAAAGGTGTGCAGATCTGCATTTCTGGATGACAGCTCCCCAAATTCCACAGGCAATTGTTGTCCAAAAGTACAAATCTGCATAACTTTAAATTCACAATATCCTTGTACACACAGAGACTCTATGTGCATCCACCAGCTGATCTCCAGCTTGCACAACTACAAGGTGGAGTTCATGTTGGGAGCATTACTTCTGCAGATATTCTGCTCTATGTTTCCCAAACAAGATACTGGCCCAAATGGTGTTTACTCTTGTCTCTGTCTCCCTGTCTAAGACATATGTTGCAGCTATAGGGCAGTTTGCAAACACACATCGTTTACTATGCAGACCAATATACCAACGGATGTTGTACGTAGATTTACTTAAATGCAGTTATGGCTAGTGCTCATTGTGTGTGGGGGGATGCACAATGCACAACAACCAATTGTGAGTAGAGCCATAGAAGAAGTGAATATTCACACAAACACACACACACACACACACACAGAGGCAGGTGGTCTGGTATTCACATAAACACAATTACTGCTTCAATGTGACAATTATAGCTTTGGAACAGCACTCCAGATAGAACTTGCATATTCCCTAATGTATTTCTATGGAAGGAAGTCACCTATCCAACCACCAATCTTTACTGTTGGGATGCCCCATTCATGTTCATGATAACTGCCTGTTAGTTCAAATGAAGCTGCTTGACTGTGAAGGCTAATCTCATCCCTATTGCTCCACCTGGTAGCCATGCATATACACCCTTGTTATCTACACATTCAGTACACATGAAAAGGAGTTCTGTATGAACATCAAAAAAATCCATCTTCCTGCCAATACAGGAAATTCACAATTAAAGCCGCTCTGACAGAAGGTCATATAAAATCTGTTTTAAAACCTCCAGTGAAGAAGAGTTTGCCACCATTGTCCATTCGTTTCTTGAACAGTTCTTTCCATCAGGAACTTCTTGCTGATGTTTAGTCAGAATCGCCTCTTTTCTCATTTGAATTCTTTGGTTCAGGTCCTCCCCTTTATAGCAGCAGAAAACAAGCTTGCTCTATCTACCATGTGACAGCTCTTCAGAGATTTGAGGATGGCTGTTACATCACCTCTATTATTTTCTCTGAGTTGAACATGCCTAATTCCCTCAACAGTTCTACATAGGGATAGGTTTCCATATACCTTATCATTTGGATCACATTCCCCTAAACAAGTTCCATCTTGTTGATATCCTCTGTATGCTGTAGTGCTCAGTACTCCAGGTGAACTCTAAGCAAAAAGGAACACATGACAATGAGCTATTACCAGCCTAAGTTTACAGATTTCTTGCTGCTTATGTCTTGACAAGGCCGTAAGCTGGGAGCATATCACAGAAGGTTTGGTGTCTGTAATGATTACCTGCTTGAGATCAGTGTCTTAATGCTAGTGGACAGAGCCACAATATTTTAGAACACATTTTCTTGAATGATCTCCTTCCTTTAGTAAGACAAAACCCACAGTATAAGATTAGATGAGGAGGCTTTGTTTGTGGTGCCACTGATCCACGCCACCCATTGTTAAATCACAGGGCCTTGTTGCTGTAACTACAAACTGCCTTGTGAAATAAATCAGTTGTCTTCCGAACTGTTGTCATTTAGATGCCTCTTGAAAACACATGAATATACTGTATGCAATCAGGGTTCAGCAAATGCTACCATTACTTAGTCACTGAACCTTGACAATAACAGTGGTCCCCAACCTTTTTGACACCGCGGACCAGTTGGGGAGGGGGAACGGGGTCCGTGCGCAGGGGGGCGGGGCACCCCCTGCACGTGCATGAAGGGCGGTGTTCGCTCGCATGGGCACACAGACACACTCGCACATGCACGAAGGGGTGCTTGTGTGCCATGCACACACACTCGTGCACATGAACGAAGGTGCGGGGCACTCATTTGTGCATGTGCAAAGGGGCTGTGCGTGGGGAGTGCGTGCAGGGGGGACCTGAAGATCTGTGTCTGCGGCCCAGTCCGGCCAAGGCCACGGACCAGCACCAGACTGCAGACCGGGGTTTGGGAACCCCTAGACAATAGTACTTATTTGTTCTGTCTTTATGCAGGTTGAACCCCTAGACAATAGTACTGTACTTATTTGTTCTGTCTTTATGCAGGTTGTGAGTTGATCTGGGACCTTTACAAAGAAGAGCAAGATGAAAAAACAGAAGAAACCAAACAACAAACAGAGCCACTTTACTCCCACCTAACAAGGGGTTTTTAGTGGTACTTGTTCAGACACCCTACTTACGAAGTATGCAGTATTCAAGAGCAGTAAAAAAAAAGTAAGTTTTGGGGCTTTGTGCACCTGTCTCCATGTGAACAATACAGTAATCACAGAACATTAAAGATTAAGAGAACTCTAATCCTTCCTCACCAATAGCAGTAATTTTCAGAAACTAAGTGACTACCTGTCTGTGAAAATAGATTCTTTGTTGCTGAGTCATGTTAGAAAGTCCATTTACATTTGGGTTCAAAGTCCTTTATTATATTCACTTAGTTTATTTGACCTAGAATGCTGCTCTGCTCCAGAGTTCCTGCATTAGCAGGGTTTTCACGAAACAGAACATTTAGAGTGAAAATTCAGTATAATCAGTCTTCAAAAAGAAGCATTATAGGTTGGACTGAGACTTAATTAGACCACTGAAATCAATGGAACCTCAGTAGCCATTTAATTTAAATTAGTCTTCTTTAGGTCTATGTCCACACAAGTTACCTTGTTAGGAAAGAGTGATGCACACTCTGTGATGTGCATATGATTTTGCCATATGAACATAGCTAGAAAGACCTGCTTAATTAATGCCCAACACATGGCAGAATGAACTTCAGTGCATTTTGACAGGACATGATGAGTTGCAAACAATTTCCTATTCACACAATCAGTGTCACCTGGCAGTTGGAAACATCTATTTCTCCTGTTAGTCACATACTGGCTGCAATCCTGTTGTGCTGCTCGTACACAGAAGACTTAACTTTTGCAGGCAAATTGCCAAAAGAAAGGCCAAGTTGTACGACTTATCAGGCAACAGATAATGTCTGCAGAGATTTTGTATCTTGAGACACTTTCGCTCCAAAAGTGAAACCTGTGGCATAGCAGCACAACAGTCATTGTATTCAGTGTTCTTATGTGTGCTTCTGTTGTCTAGATCACTGGTTCTTAACCTTGGGTTACTCAGGAGTTTTGGACTGCAACTCCCAGAAGCCTTCACCACCAACTGTGCTGGCTGGGGTTTCTGGGAGTTGCAGTTCAAAAACATCCGAGTAACAAAGGTTAAGAACCACTGGTCTAGATGGATTCTTCTCAGTGTTTCAACTCCAGTTGTTATAGTAATATAGTTTGTTCCCATATCATGGGTGCCACAGTCACAACGACCCTACCTCATGTCCCAAGCAGACATGCCTTTGAAAGTGGTAAGAGGCAAAGCCTCCCACTTTCTGTACTTCTGAGTGTGTTCCATTTACTTTTCTCACTAGGCCCTCCAATTTTCTGCGGCTATTTAAATATGAGGTTCTAGAATCATAGTTTCCTGCATTTTAAAACAGTGGTCCCCAACCTTGGGTCTCCAGATGTTCTTGGACTTCAACTCCCAGAAATCCTGGCCAGCAGAGGTGGTGGTGAAGATTTATGGCAGTTGTAGTCCAAGAACATCTGGAAGCCCAAGGTTGGGGACCACTGTTTTAAAAGGTTAGAGTGAGCAGGGAACCTTCTGTGGCAAAAGAAGGCACCACACCTTTGCACAGAAAGAAGGTACCAGCAGGCTTAGAATGACCTCGCATGTTTTTTAGAAGTTACAAGGTACAAGTTACTGTCCAGAATCCTTTCAGAGTTCACATGAGGTTTGCATAAGACATCATGCCTAATTGCAACTAGCTGACAAGGTGCAGAGTGCATCTCAGTTGTGTAACCAAGGGCATGACCAGGGGCATGACTGAGACATTCCTTGGCACCGCATCAGTTAGCCACAATACAAACTGAGAGAACATAGAGTTTCCATGAAGAATGGAAAAGCATCATAACTATACTCAAGTGTCCCCTGGGCCACAGTGCGCAGCCAGTCATTCCTTCATTTCCAGAAGCTTTTCACCGCAAACTTGCTGTTGAGCCAAATTAGCGATCTGAAGAATGGAAAAGCATCATAAGTATTACTCAGGTGTCCCCTGGTCCACAGTGCGCAGCCAGCCATTCCTTCATTTCTAGAAGCTTTTCACTGCAAACTTGCTGTTGAGCCAAATTAGCGATTTTAGGACCACGGATGATCATAATTTTTAACGTTTTAATTTGTTAATTTCTTCCTATATTGTGCAGTGCTCTGATATGAATAAAGAATTTTAATTTGTTAATTTTTTCCTATATTGTGTAGTGCTCTGATACGAATAAAGAAAAAAAAATTGGAGACTTTATGTGAACATCAGTATAATTCTGGCCACTCTCTTTTAAAATAAAACTTCTACCCCGGGGGGGGGGCAGAGAATCCCCAAAACAAGTCAATGTGGATTGAGCAGGCTCTACAGAATGTTGGCTTCCTAAATAGTGTCTGCAGAATGCTGGATGACAAATAGATAGGGTGAAAAAAAAAATAGATGATCGGGACGGAATGGAATGGAACATCCTCAAGAACAATATGGCCCTGCGAAAGCCAGTCCTCCCCTCCATACACTCCGTGCTGCCATCTTTTAGCGGTGGATTCGTCACCAAACATTTCTAATACCGATTTCTATGTATTAAATATTATCCTCAAAAATAACCCTAAAATGATGAAAAAACAGCAAAGCATACAACCATGTTTTGCACATGTTCATCCTCTGTATCAACACAAAGTCACTTCCAATAATAAAGGATCCACAGTTTTAGTATCATCATGATGCTGAGCTTTTTTTGTTTCCCAAGAGAGAGAAATCTTTTATTGATTTTCCTTTCTCATACATTCCGAACTGAAGTCGGCTTTTTTTGTTTGCCATAGACTGTTAAGACTGCCTCAAACACTCCTAGACAGGTTCATCAGCTTTCCCAGGATCTCTTTCTGGCCTTTGCTTTGTTTCCAGTTTTCTAGTTCTCTTGAAGCTGATGCTATACTTCCAGTATTATAATGTTGTTTTGTTTCTGTATGACTAGGATCTGAGTCATAATTTGTATCATTTAAGAACGTCTGTGGGTGGATGGAGGAAGAATTAAGCTAGTCCAAAATCACAACGTGGTTTCTTCTGTTTCATAAAATAGTTGTCCTTCCTTGAACAAAGTTATCTTGTGTATGGTTTTCCCCCAGTTACACATTTAACTTGAGTGTTGTTTGGTCCTCTAGAGTAGTGGTTCTTAACCTTTGTTACTCAGGTGTTTTTGAACTGCAGCTCCCAGAAACCCCAGCCAGCAGAGCTGATGGTGAAGGCTTCTGGGAGATGCAGTCCAAAAACATCAGCCAACAGTGCAAATGGTCAAGGATAATGGGAGTTACAGTCCAACAACTTGTGGAAGGGCCAAACATTCTGCAGCCTTCTCAAGGATGTCCACAGATTTGGGAGGGGAAGCGGAGCTACATAGTGGAGTGTTAGCATAGTTCCCATGTATAGTGCATGGCACTGCAACATAGTAGCCAAAGTCCTCTTGTTTGGTGGTAAGTTAGGTTAGAGTAGGTCTATTGAATCAATTAGGCTATCGTGAGTTAGCTCCTTTGTATGTTCCAGTGATTCAAATGGCCCAATTTTAACTGACTTACTATGCTAAAGTAAGTTGCAGTTAAAGTAGGCCCATTGGAATAAATGAAACAGATGGAGGAATTCTTACTAAATCCCCATTGATTCAAGGCACCTACTCTAGTGCGATTTATTATGAGCAACAGGATTTTGGCCATTATCAGAATGCTGTTGTCATTTTACATTTCATATGGAAAATTGCTTAGGTCTGGCAGCAAATTCCCATTTACGTTTAACAAGGTGTTGGTTGCATTCCTGGTGCATGCCAAATCATGCCCTTTGACATGCAGGAAATCAATCAGAACCTTATTAATGAGTAATTATTCACCAAGACTTGCATGATTTCCCCTGCAAAAGTGTAAGTTGATACTTTATTTTTTTTTAAAAAAATTCTAACAAAACTGACACCTAGTTTTTCCTTTGTTTTGCTTTGTTTTTTGTTTTTCTTTGGAGGGGGTAGTAATTTGTTATTCAGTTGCCTGCCGTGCTCAGGTATAACACACCTAATTTTTATATGAAACTGATTAATGTTAATGACAGATGTGAGTGTCT